CTCTGACTGATGATCTTTCTGTCCCACTTGGGTAGTGTTCCGTGAGCCTTATCTTATGTGCAAGAAAGTTCTGTAGATATATCCATTTTGATTGGGCTCCAGCACTAACTGATTAATTAGTTGTGGATTTCTGTAATGGTCTCTGGCTGTTGCAAACAACAATTTCTTTGATGAAGAGTAAAGACTACAGTTATGTTCAGGTGAAAGAACTAAGTTTATACATGTTTATGCATGTTAGGGATTATGCTATTTTAGTAAGTTAGTGGTTATAGATTCTTCTCCAATACTTATCACGTGACCAGCACAGTGTTTTTAGTGCCAGGAATGCTCTCCCACTTGTTCAGCAAGCCATAAGTCCAATTAAATCTTCTTTGATTAAAAAAAGGTCTGTGTTCTACTGCTGTATACTTAGAGCTATCATGCTATGATGTGCATGTTACACATCAGGTGACCATAATGATAGTCTTCTTTATGACAAGGCTATAGTAGAGCATATGCATTAGTATTAGAAGCTTTATTATTTGGAAAACAGTGGTTTAAACATAATGTGTTGTAGCTTTCAGTGTATAAAATCTTTGTATTTCATTTCATACCTTAATAAAGCTGAGAAAATACATAAGGGCAAGACAGTGACCAAGCCATGGAAAGACCAAGGAGGACTTTTTGAATATGAAGAAGCAGGCCCAGGTGATTGCTTTGCTTTGTTTTGTTTGTATCTGTATTTATTACATGATGTTTGCCATTTATTGAATAATGGTATAATGTTTTCAAAAGGAAGACGATTTTTCACTTTTTTTGGAAACCAGTGTAATACCACAATGATAAATTCATAGAATTTTCACTGTGATAGGTCAAATTTGTCTTTTATTATAATAAGTTCATCCTTTTGAGAATTAGATTGTTTCTTCATTATAGATTCTTTTTGTGTTTTCAAGGAAATTTATCTCATTGTTTATGAAATTATCATTTAATTGCAACCATTCTCCATACCCTTTCCAACCTCCAAAACCTCCCATTTCAATCCCTTTCTCTATAGCAAAATTCATGGCCTCTTTTCACACTAATTGTTAGAATTGTATTTAAGAATATCTATGTGTACACACACACACACACACACACACACACACACACACACACACACTCCTAAATATAACCTGTTTACTCTGTATAATAGTCTCTGTTTATATGTTTTCATGACTGGCTTTTTGGCACCAGACAGAGAATTGCTGTAACCTTCCCGGGGTATTCTCACCCCTCCTGTTCCCAGTTTTTTTTCAGTTTTCGGTCATCCTTTGAGTAGGGTGAAGCCTCCTGGGATTTTCTTTGTTTAGTTTGTGTATGTATTGGTGCCATTCTTCTTCAGCTCATGTTTGAGCAGAGATGTATGTGAGATTTTATGTTTGTTTCTCCTGATATTAGTAGGAACCACAGTCTTGGAACAACTTTCCTGACCCTCTGGCTCTGATGATCTTTCAGCTACTCTCTCTTGGATAGTGTTCCCTGAGCCTTATCTTATGTACAGGAGAGTTCTGTAGATGTCTGTAGATGCATCTATTCTGATTGGACTCCACCACACTCTGTTCTAATTGGTTGTGGAATTTTGTAAAAGTCTCTGGCTGTTGCAAAAAACAGTTTCTTTGATGAAGAGTAAAGACTATAGTTATTTTCAGGTATAAGAATAATGTTTATAAATTGCTGTTAGGGATTATGCTGTCTTAATAAGTTAGTAGTTGTAGATTTTCTCCAATAATCATCATTTGACCCACACAGAATTTTAGGTGGGTTTCCAGTGCCAGGCAATCTCTTTCTCTTGTGGAATGAGTCTTAAGTCCAAGTAAGGAGCTGTTGGTTACAAAGAAGGTCTGTGTTCCACTGCTGCATACTTAGAGCTACCATGCTGTGATGGACAGTGTTACACATCAGGTGACAATGATGGTGGCCTTCTTTATGACAGGCTATAGTAGAGAATATGCATTAGTGGTGGAAGCTTTATTATTTTGGAAAACCTAGTTGATGAAACACAATGTATTCTAGCTTTAAATGTACATAATCTTCATTTTTTGTTTCATACCTCAATAAAGCTGAGAAAAAACGCAAGGGCAAGACAGTGACCAAACCATGGAAGGACCAAGGCGGACTTTTTGAATATGAGGAAGCAGGCCCAGGTGACTGCTTTGTTATGTTTTGTTTTCATTTCTCTTGCTTCACCTTATGTTTCTATTTATTGAATAATTGAGTAATGTATTCAAAAGGAAGACTGTTTTTCACTTTTTAGGAAACCAGTGTAATACCGCATTGATAAATTAATAGAAATTTTCACTGTGCTGGGTCAAATTAGTCCCTGATAATAATAAGTTAATCCTTTTGGAGAATTAGGTTGCTTCTTCTTTTCAGATTCTTTTTATGTTTTCAAGGAAATTGATCTGATTGTTTATGAAATTATCATTTAGTTGCAACCTTTCTCCATACCCTTTCCTCCCTCCAAAACCTCCCATATCAACCCCCTTCTCTATGCCAAAATTCATGGCTCATTTTCACACTAATTTTTAGTGAATCTATTTAAGAATATCTATGCACAGACTCACATATTCCAAAATATAACTGGTTCAGTCTGTTTCATAATACCTATATGTGTGTTTTCATGGCTGGATTTTAGGCAGCACACAGTGAATTGGTGTATTCTTCCGTGGCTATTCCCACCTCTCCTATTCCTAGTTCTATCAGTTTTCTATCATCCTTTGAGTAGGGTTGAAGCCTAGTGGGCTTTTCTCTATCTATCTTGTGTATGTATTGGTGCCATTCTTGTTTAGCTCATGTTTGAGTAGTGATTTTAGTGAGATTTTATTTGTGTTTCTCTTGATATTACTAGGAGACATTGTCTTAGAAAAAATTCCCTCATCCTCTGGCTCTGATGATCTTTTATTCCCTTCTTGGGTAGTGTTCCCTGGGTCTTATCTTTTGTTCAGGAGACTTCTGGAGATGTATCCATTTTAATTGCATTCTACCACCCTCTGCTTTGATTGGTTGTGAATTTCTGTAATGGTCTCTGGATGTTGCAAATGAAAGTTCATTTAAAAATAAGTAAAGACTATAGTTATCTCCAGGTGTAAGAACAACGTTTATAGATTGTTGTTGGGGATTGTGCCTTTTTTAGTAAGTTAGTGCCTGTAGATTCTTCTCCAATAACCATCATTTGACCAGCACAGAGCTTTTACCTGATTTTCAGTTCCAGTCATGCTCTCCCTCTTGTTGAGCTATTTCAGTACAAGAGCTCCTGGTTACAAAGAAGGTCTGTGTTCCACTGCTGCATACTTAGAGCTACCATGCTGTGATGGACAGTGTTACACATCAGGTGATAATGATGGTAGCCTTCTTTATGACAGGCTATAGTAGAGAATATGCATTAGTGGTGGAAGCTTTATTATTTGGAAAACATAGTAGATTAAACATAATGTAGTCTAGCTTTAAATGTATATAATCTTTGTTTTTCATTTCATACCTCAATGAAGCTGAGAAACAACACAAGGGCAAAACAGTGACCAAACCATGGAAAGACCAAGGCGGACTTTTTGAATATGAAGAAGCAGGCCCAGGTGACTTGTTTTGTTGTGTTTAGTTTTTATCTGTATTCATTCATATTATGTTTGCTATTTATTGAGTAATGGTATATTATTTTCAAAAGAAAGTCTGTTTTTCACTTTTTAGGAAACCATTGTAATACCACAATGATAAATTCATAGAAACTTTCACTGTGATAAGTCAAATTTGTCTCTTATTGTAATAAGTTCATCCTTTTGAAGAAGTAGATTGCTTCTTAATTACAGATTCTTTTCGTGTTTTCAAGGAGAATTATCTATTTTTTATAAGATTGCTTTTCAATTGCAGCCTTTCTCCATATCCATTTCTCCCTTTATATCCTACAATTTCAACCCACTTTTCTTCCCAGAATTCATGGTCTCTTTTCATCTTAATTGTCAGTGATTGTGTTTAAGAATATCTGTACACATACACACACACACACACACACACACACACACACACACACACACACACACACACATATTCCTAAATATAACCTGTTCATTCTATATAATAATACCTGTATGTATGTTTTCATGACTGGCTTTTTGCCACTAGACAGAGAATTGCTGTATCCTTCCCTGGGTATTTACCACTTCTGTCCCCAGTTTCCTCAGTTATCTATCATCCTTTCAGTAGGATTGAAGCCTCATGGGTTTTACTCTGAGGAGTTTGTGTATGTATTAGTGCGATTCTTCTTCACTCATGTTTGGGCAGTGATATTTGTGAGATTTTATGTGTGTTTCTTCTGATATTACTAGGAAACACAGTCTTAGAACAAATTCCCTGACCCTCTGGCTTTAATGATCTTTCAGCCTCCTCTTGGATAGTGTTCCCTTGTCTTATCTTACGTCCAGGAGAGTTCTGTGGATGTGTCCATTCTGATTAGACTCCACCACTGTGCTTTGATTGGTTGTGGATCTCTGTAATGGTCTCTGGCTGTTGCAAATGAAAGTTTCTTTGATGAAGAGTAAGACTGCAATTCTTCACAGTTATCTCCAGGTTTAAGAACAATGGTTATAGATTGTTGTTAGGGGTTGTGCTGTTTTAGTAAGTTAGTAGTTGTAGATTCTTCTCCAATAATCATCATTTGACCAGCACAGTGTTTTTATCTGGGTTTCCAGTGCTCAAGCATTTATTTGTACCCTCTTGCTAAGGGAGTCTTAAGTCTAAGAAAAGAGCTCTTGGTTACAAAGAAGGTCTGTTTTTCACTGCTGCCAAACTTAGAGTTGTTATGCCATGATGGACAGTGTTACACATCAGGTGACAAAGACGGTAGCCTTCTTTATGACAGGCTATAGTAGAGCATATGCATTAGTGGTGGAAGCTTTATTATTTTGAGAAACCTATTTGATAAAACACAATGTATTCTAGCTTTAAATGTATATAATCTTTGTATTTCATTTCATACCTCAATAAAGCTGAGAAAAAACGCAAGGGCAAAACAGTGACCAAACCATGGAAAGACCAAGGCGGACTTTTTGAATATGAAGAAGCAGGCCCAGGTGATTGCTTTGCTTTGTTTTGTTTGTATCTGTATTTATTCACATGATGTTTGCCATTTATTGAATAATGGTGTAATGTTTTCAAAAGGAAGACGATTTTTCACTTTTTTAAGAAACCAGTATAATACCACAATGATAAATTCATAGAAATTTTCACTGTGCTAGGTCAAATTTGTCTTTTATTATAATAAGTTCATCTTTTTGAGAATTAGATTATTTCTTCATTACAGATTCTTTTTGTGTTTTCAAGGAAATTTATCTCATTGTTTATAAAATTATCATTTAATTGTAACCATTCTCCATACCCTTTCTAACCTCCAAAACCTCCCATTTCAATCCCCTTCTGTATATCTTCAGGTATAAGAATAATGTTTATAAATTATTGTTAGGGATTATGCTGTCTTAATAAGTTAGTAGTTGTAGATTTTCTCCAATAATCATCATTTGACCCACACAGAAT